ATTGACGTTTAGTCTCAATATCCGAATGTTAAAATGAGAATGCTTTTGTTATTATTAAAAAATATGTAAATAATTTATTATGAAAAATTATATCTGTCATTCTCATATATATTAGTTTCAATATAGATACTCAAAAGGACAATATAGTATTCTCATTACAGTTAAATGTAATAAATTATATGATAGATATAATTTATAATGTATATATTTTTTTATAAAAAAATTATAAGCTATCCAAAATGCAATAGATTGAAAGATCGATCATTCTCATAAATATATTATTTTCAAATTTTAATATTTAAAATAATAAATAATGTGAAAGAGGTTATAAACTATTTAATTCGTCACGATCTATTATATTTCAAAAAGAATTATAATAGGTTATTTACATATATAATATTCAACATACAAAACTTAGTAAATTAAAGATTGATCATTCTCTTAACTATGGCGAAATACTTTTAAATTCTATTATCTGAAAGGAAAATATAGTACACTCATCGCAATTAGGAATAATAAATTACATGTGTAATAATATGTTAAAATATATAAGCATTTTGCTATTTATATACTAAGCACATAATAAAATTTGAATGACGGGAGAGATTTCATTTAAGTCAATGTTCATTAAAAAAGATAATTTAATCAATTATTTTTAGTCAAATAAAAAGAATATCTTAGAAGCTCTATCTCATATTATTTAAGAAAGATTCTAAAAACTTCGAGTGCATTTATTTAGACTACTCTAAATTAGTTAAATTATATTCTCTCCATTATTACAAAATCTTAAAGGAGTAAGTAATTAAGACATAGTTAATTTAAATGCAGGAATACTTAAAAATTGTAACTGTCAAATTGAGTAGTCTATAAATATACTTCATTCTACTTCATCCTTATTCAATTATTCAAATCATAAATTAATCTTTTAATTCGTGCTAAATTTATCCATGGAGCCTCCTAGGAAGTTAAAGGGCCGCCAAATGATTGAGATGGTGAAGATCAAGAAGGTGACGAATCTCCAAGTTACCTTTGCCAAACGCCGGGCTGGCATTTTCAAGAAGGCGAGTGAAATTAGCATGCTTTGTGGCGCCGAAATTGCAGTGATTATTTTTTCACCTGCTAAGAAAGTGTTCTTTTTTGTCAGTCCTTCTGTGGAAAAGTTGATCAATCGATTCAGTGGCCTAATAGAACAACCTCTTTCAGCTAACAGATGTATGATGGATGCTCATCGAAATGGTTGTCTCCAAGGGCTCAACTCACAGCTAAACAAGGTATAATCACTACCATGTCTTCATATATCTATACTATTTGATTTTTATAACTAATCCTTGAATTTTTTTTGGACATGATTATATATTATTAAAGCTTAATGCCCAACTGGATGCTAAAAAGAAGTGAAGTGTGGAGCTTAAGAAGGTGATGAAGGAGAATGCAAGTAAAGCCTGGTGGATGGGTTCCATAGATGACATGAACCTTTCACAGCTTCAGCAATTTCAAGCTGCTCTTGAGGAATTATACGAGAATGTTATAGAAATCGCCAAAGAAAAAGATGCTGAAGAGGACAATATTAATCCTAATTCTGATGATCAACTTTTTCTTGGAAGCTCATCCAATGGAACTGGACTTCCATTTGAATCTATCCCCTTAAATGCTATCGTTGGTCCAGAAACATGGTTAATCCGAACATGAATAGGGTAATTCCACATGGTTAATCCAAACGT